CATTTGATATTTAGTCTGCTGAAATGTCTAAATATTGCCGAAATCCTAAATTATGCCGAAATGTCTAAATAATGTCAAAATGTCTAAATAATGTCGAAATGTCTAAATTAAGAAATATATATGAAAAACATAAGGGAATTAGGGCTATTAATCAGTTCCGACTAAAACCGCCGGTCCTGTGGTCCTCCTTAGAACCGGGCCAATCCGGTCTTTTATGGGCCGGACAGACCAAAAAGACTATCGGTCCGAATATAGTAGCTTTAAATTATTAACGAACATGTGTGACCTAATTTTTTGTGTATGCGAGGTTAATTTTTTTAATACTGTTGTATCTAAATATTATAAAGCTGTTGCAGTAATTGTTAAAATACTACAAAAACAAGCAAAATTACGAGGAAATATAGTATTATGCCTATACCATTTTCACAAAACCTTTCTAGAGGCCTCATTTTATGCCCTATCAATGATTTATTTGCAGATATCAAAGACCACGCTGCAAGAACTATTAGATGCAAAAAAGATATTTGACGAAGTTAGGGATGGAAATTTCGATGATATTTCTTCTGGACTAGGTACTTGTTTTGATTCTAAAAGTTTAGTGAAAATAGGTGATGGAGAGATAATTTATCATAATTCAGAAATTCAGGATGTAATTTGCGATGGTATGGTAAAGATAAGTGCTCAATTATTGCATAAAGTAAACAGACGCTTGGAATGTTGTGAGATGTCGAAAAAAGCGATTAATGACGCTGAGACTCTTGCTTCCAGAAAAAAATTAATAAAAGGATCAATGGCTTAATAGATTGGGGGCAATGGGGCATTAGGACATTGAGCTCGGCTACACTCTATAATAACGTTAGAGATTCATTTCCTCCATTTATAGCGTTTAAAGCTGTAAGTTTTGGATCTAGATATGCTATAAATTTAGCAGCAACCAAATATCTAGGTATGTTGTCGAAGAATGTGAATATACCAGAAAAATATAAAGAACTCAATAAAGGTTTAATCGAAGCATTAAAAGCTTATAGCAATGGAGATTATCTCAATTTTTTAATGAACTTTCTAATAATAAGATTTTAGAATTAGAGAAACAAAATGATTCTAATAATATCATTATCATTATCAATATAACTGTCAATCCCAATGACATTATCAAAAAGCTTTTAAGCTACAAAGTTAGACCAGATGGAGTCGCATATATATTGTACTTGATAGGATGGGTCTTGATTAGTAAAAAAATAGTTCACGGAAAGTCAGAAAAAGAACTAGTATATCTAGTTAAAAATATTTTTAATAGTACATTAAATAAAAAGGATGAACTTGAGAAAATAGCAAAAGAATTGGATAAAAACTTCCATGAATTAAGAAAAAAAAATGTGGAGATTCACTTGGAGAATGGTGAAAGAAATAATGACTCGAATGAATATGAAGATGATGCTCGAGAAATGCCATTTGAAGCAAGGCTAGAGGAAATACTTAACATAACAAGAATTAATCTTATAATTCTCGATTTGCTACATTCTAGTCGCGAGAGTAAAAGATAATATTAAAAAAGTTCGAAATTCGATAAACTACAATTATCAGTTCGCCGCCTTGGCTAAACATTGCTTAAAAGCTTTGGAAGATATTTTGTGGGTTATTGGACGTGAAGAAGAATTTTCTGAAGAATTTCCTGAAGAATTTCCTGAAGAATTCTCAGAATCAATTCAAGAATTATGCGAATATAGTAAAACTGCGGCAAATTGCGAACAGTTAGCTGAAAAAGAGGTTAATAGATTAAACAGTTTAAATCATTGGCAAGAAGCACTAAACAATTATGAACATGCGCTTAAAATAAATCCTAACCGGCAAGATTTGCAGCTTAATTGTGCGAAATGTTTATTGAAATTGTCTAAGTATATACCCAAGCCATGAAATTTTCAATTCAAAATTCTGCAATGAACTCATCATCAGAATGTTGGCGCATTCTTAGCATTGCGTATTGTAAACAAGCTAATTATAAAAAAGCTGCTAATAAGGCACTAAGGCTAGACTCAAAAAACAAATTAGCAGGAAATCAAAAAGATCTTCTCAAAAGCCTTATCGTGCAAGATAATATTGATCGTTCAATTGATCGTTACGAAAAAGAAAAAAGTGACATTAAATATGAAATAGATTTTCTAAACAATTCCCATAATAATGAGAGCCCTGTTTACAATATCTTATCAATTGATGGAGGAGGTATACGTGGGATATTACCTGCTTTATGGCTCAGTGAAATAGAATCTCGTATCCACAGACCAATTTCACATTTATTTAATATGATAGCTGGAACTTCAACCGGCGGAATAATTGCCGCTGGGCTATCAGCTTCATGGTTTTCACAGTCTAATACATCTTACGAATATTCTGACTCAAGGCCAAGATTCTTGGCTTCAGAGATATTAAATATTTATAAAAATGAAGCAAAAGAATTGTTTACTACAAATAGTTCTTTTTTTAAATATATCATTACTAAAAGAGAAGTATACAAACGATGGTTGTTATTTGGTAAGATGAAGTTAGATAAAGCACTTACCGAATTGGTTATTCCTGCAGTAAATGAAATCAATATAACACAATTGCATATCTTCACAAGCTATGATGGTCGTGAAAATGCCTCAAAAAATGACTCATTTGTTGATGTCTTAATGTCTACAACTGCTGCGTCTACCTTTTCCCCACCTTATGAGATAATGAATAAAGGCTTTTTTCTAGATGGGGGATTGACTCTTAATAATCCAGCATTAGAAGCTTACAATCAAGCCAAACGATATAATGTAAGTGAAGAAAATATTCATGTGCTTTTTCTGGGAACGGGAAGTTATATACCGGCTTTTTTGGGCACAAATGTCCACAACGTAATGATGTCTCCAAAAGAAGGTGATACCCGATAGACAAATGTACACTAATTTTAGGAAATCGCTATCAGCGATGGCAAATCTGGTTCGAGAACCCGATAAAATTAGATGAATCCGAAAAAATACCTTATCTTTTAGAGTTAGGATATCAATATATTGAAGAGCTTGATTGTTCGGATGATAATCCCATTAACAAATTGGTTGAATCTTTGGAAAATAAGAATAATAACTGAAATTCATATTTATATCAAGAGTCAGAGTTATTTCAGATGTATTAGATGACGTTTTATTTACTAGGCATTAAATATTTTCATGTGATGATTCTTTCATTGATCAATGATTTTCCTTAACTAAAGTAAAAAAAAATCTATATATTCTAGTTTATTACTTCTTTCACTCTTATTATTTTATTTATTTAATTTTTATAAAATTTTATTTCTTTGAACTTTAAACAAGATTTCTCGACAACCAGCTATCTGAATCTGATGAATTTTTTTTTTATTTTAATTTTATGCTTCATAGAATCAAAATAAAAAAAAAATTAGCAATTTGAATAGCTGCTTGTTGAGAAATATTCATTAAAAGTTAAAAAAATTGGCCGCAGTTTTTTTTTTATAAGCGATTAAATTTGAACGAAGATTACTCGCCACTTACTTGTCAAACTCAATCAAATTTCTTTTATTTTAATTCTATAAGCTCATAGAATTCAAATAAAAAAATTTTGGTCGAATTTGACTAGGTAAGTGTCGAGTAGTCTTCGTTCAAATTTAGCCGCCTATAAAAAAAAAAAAGCTGCGGCCAATTTTTTTTAACTTTTAATGAATATTTCTAAACGGCCAGCTATTCAAATTCGATCAATATATATATATAATTCTATGAACTTCATGGGGTTAAAATAAAAAAATTCAGATAACTGGTTGTCGAGAAATCTTTGTTTAAAGTTCAAAGAAAGAAAATTTTATCCGATTTTATTTTTTTTTCTTAGAATATTGGAAACGCAATTTTAGATATTCTAAATTTTTTTTTAATTTTATTTCAATAATTGCAAAACCAAGTTCAATGAACTTTTTTATTTAACTTCTATGAAACTATAGAATTAAAATAGAAAGAATTTTACCGAATTTGATAAGTACAATAGTTATTATTATTATTATTATTATTGAGCTAGAAATATTAACCGGCACTAGGGTTGCGATTATATCGGTATAATAAAAATGCCTAGTATAATACCGGGTATCATACTGTATTATACCGTATAGTATGGTATAATAAATATATAAAGTTAAATGATATACATATATAACTTATAATACTTTATTTAGAAAAAATTTAACGTTAATATATCAGATATAGTTAATATATAGCGTTTATATATAACTATATATAAAAATGAAAAAAAGGTAAAAATTTAATCTATCAGATACATATAGTTAAATATATCAGATATAGTTAATAGCGTTCATATATAACTATATATAAAAAAATCAAAAAAAAGTTAAAAATTTTTAAATAAATATATCATCATTATTTAAATTAAAATCATTTTCAGCATTTTCATTATTGATATAATCTTCTTCAGCATTTTCATTATCAATATAGTCTTCTTCGGCATTTTTATTATTGATATCTTCTTCACCTAAAACTCCAATATTTTTGTTTTCATTATGTTCGATAATATGTTCTTTTTTTGTGTAATGCATTCTTAAGTTACTATAGATATAAACTAATTTTTTAACTCGCTCATTTTTTAACCGATTTCTAGTTTTTGAATGAATGTATCTGAAATTAGAATAATTACATTCTGCAGAAGCAGATGAAGTTGGAATTGACAAGATGCAAATTGCAAGTTTTTGAAGCTCCAATAAAGGCCAAGAAGACCACCAAGTTGAAGGATTAAGATGAACAGCTGAATTCCAAATTAATTCATTATTATATGGTATTTGTTTGTTACGAAATTTTAATAATTCAGCATAGATTCTAGATGCTTCTTCGGTAGGATACTTTAAGGAAATAAAGGTTGCAAATGTCGATAAACAATCAGATTCATTAATATTTTTTTTGCTCTCTTCAAGATAGTTTGGATCTAATATGAATGCGATAGTCATAATAGGATGGTAGATATAATTCTAATGATTTTGAATTTTTTGTTGAATTTCTGCTAAATAGTTACAATTAATTTTTTGGATTTCAGTTAAAATCATATTAAATCAGGAATAAGTTGTTGAAATTGTTGAGCTATCAGCTTCGAATTCTTTTAAAGCAGCAACAATTGGTTTAAGAATTCTAATGAGAACTTTAAGGTCATTCCAAAATTCATTTGAATGTAATTGCACTTTAATTCGTGCTTCTAATGATGTTGTACTTTGATCATAAATTATTTGTTGAATTGCTGTTTGTAATCCGATAAGAGATTTAATGCAATCAAGATGTGTACCCCATTGTGTAATTACAGGAAGAACAAGAGCAATTTCTTTACCATAATTTTCTTTTTGAATATGCCGTAATTTTGCCATTGAAGCATGATAATCTTTAAAATATTTAACAACCGTTATGACATCTTCTAAAACTATTTTAATTTTATCTATTTTTAAAATATTGCCAATTAATAAATTAATAACATGTGAAGAGCATCTGAGACAAATAATATGAGAATATTTTTCTTCAATTATTTTCTAAGCAGCTTTCATATTAGCCGCCATATCTGTAATAACTAATGAAAATTTATAAATTCCTACTTTTTCCATTTTTGTAATAATTTGGGTTGAAATCCACTTCCCTGTATGACGAGCTTCTCCAGAAAAAATTGTATCATAAAAAACTGGATTAGGTAAACAAATAATGAAATTTTGAACCACTTCATGCTTGACATTTGACCAACCATCAGAGACTATAGTAAGATTTTGTGTATTATCTATTTTATTTTTAACATTATTTTTAATATCTTTATATACATTTTCTAACAACTCTATTGATAATTTATCTTGATTAGGAATTTTAAATGATGGCCGAAGAGCATAAAAAAATTCTACCCAAAAAGGGTTTTTAAATGTACTAAGAGAAATACCCAAAGCATAAATTGCTTTAGCAAATTTATAATCTATATTTGATATTTTATTATGTTCCATTCGATTAACATAACTCACTATAGTACTTTGTTGAGTTAAATCTGAATCTTGCAGCTTCGGTTTTTTGATAGTCTTTACTGATTTAGATGCATTAGAACAATTATTAGTATGACTTTGCATATGAGTTGCAAGTCTGTATTTGAATTTTTTAGGGCAGTATTTACATTTTACAGGTGGATATAATTTTTTGGCGCCTTTCTGATCTTGAGTATTTGATGAAGAAGAAATAAAATCTTCTGTATCATCTTCATCATTACTTGATGTTTTGCTACAACTATTAAGCTAACTTAATTCTTTGGGCGACAAAATATTCCAATAATCCCAAATTTTACTTTTTTGCAGCATATTAATAATGATAAGATAGTTTATTCAAAAAAATAATAATAGCTTAATACACTTGGTAAGAATGTTATATAATTTTTTTTATTATGATTTAACAAGCGAATGAAGGTAGTATTTATAATAATTATATGTATTATAATTATTATTGTTTATACTTGTTTTATATTCTAATTATTTTCTTACTAATGGTTTGACTTATTAATTTTATTTAAACTAAAATAATTCTTATTATTATAATTTTACAAATGATTATAAAAGCAATTTATCTTTCTTTATTATAGTATTACTTTAATATATATTATTCTATAATATAATTATAGTAGTAATATTTAATTATTGTTTTTGGTTCACTAAATTATTTTTTAATACCAGTAACTATACAGAAACTTTGAATTTTTTAATACACAGTAACTGCATAGTAATTATGCAATTACTATATTGTTACTATGCAGTTACTGCATATTAGGATATTTAAGTTTCTGTAAAGAATTTATTACAACTAAATAATTTTATATGTACGAATGCTAAAATTAAATAAAACCTGCATTACAAATATGGTAAGTTTTATTTTCACATAATTGTTTAAGTAGGTTTTACTAAAATTTAAAGTAGGTGGGTTTCAAAACAATCGACCAGATAATAATAACTAAAATTGTTATAATTAGAATGAATTTCTTAAAAATTATAATATTTATTATACAAATAAATGTTTGATTATAATATTTATTATGCAGGTAATTAGAATAGTTGAAAATATAAATATCAATTTAATGATAGTATCAGAATATACATATTTGAAACCATGTTTATGAAGATACAAATCTAGCAATTTGATTGGCTATATTATATTACTGGTATTATATCTAGCTATCTATGTATAATACTTGTATAATACTTGTATAATACTAGCAATATAATATGGTATAGGTATAATTTGCAACCCTAACCGGCACAAATTAATCACGTGTTAAATGATCGACAAAATCTAAATAACAAATTGAACCTAGGTACAGATCTTTGATTTTAAAAGTGACAATTAAAAAATTAGGCCGGAATTACTCATAATTTTACTAATGAAATCGCAGCCGCCTACTAAGTGAAAATTGTTCTTGGGTCAACTTTACCATGTTTGCGAGCTTATTTTTAAAAAATTTCTATTTTTGTAATAAATAAATTAAAAGGTCAATTTTGGCTGAAAATTAGTAAACAATTATGTAATGCGGGCCAAAATTTTAAAGGTCCTCAGCTGTTAGCTAATCAAAATCGAGAATCTGCTGCGCATTTTTTGTGTAGCACCTAGGGTTAATCCCAAACAAATTAACCATAGCTGCAGATTCTCGATTTTGATTGGCTAAAAGCAATGATCAAAAAATTAGACCAGAATTACTCATAATTTTACTAATAAAATCATAGCCGTCTATTAAGTAAAATTGTTCCTAGGTCAATTTTATCATAATACGAGCTTATTTTTTTTTTTTTTGTAATAAAAAAATTATAAAGTTAATTCCGGCCAGAATTTAATAAACAATTTTGTAATGTGGGCCAAAATTTTAAAGATCCTCAGCCGTTAGCCAATCAAAATTGAGGATCTGCCAGTTCAAATTTGTTGCGGCAGCTAAGAACAAATTAACCATAGCTGCCGCAACAAATTTGGACCAGCAGATCCTCGATTTTGATTGGCTAAGAGCGATGATCAAAAGATTAGACCGAAATCTCTTATAATTTTACTAATGAAATTGTAGCCGTTTATTAAATGAAAATTGTTC